TTTACAATGCACACTCCTGATTAGTACACAGGGCCTAGTCTGTACAGTAACCATTTAACAAGGGCAAACTCATCTTCAGTTCTCTCTCCAATCGATTAAACTAATTCATCTGCTTTAATGAGGGAATCGCATTTCCCTCATCTTTGAGTCCTAAGCCAATTGGCTGTCAGGACCCTAAGGAAACATTACTGGTGAGAAGGCATAGATGTATTTTTATATTTTGCCAAACACATGTACTGTGTGTGACTGCCCTCATTAGTATTGGGCCTGAAGTCTATGGCATGGACAATTGTCACATAAAATTCATTTTTATTAGATATTGTTTCCAGCCAATACTGGGAAGAAAAGAAAAAAAAAAGAATTAGGGGGGAAAAAAGTGTTTAAATTTAAGGATCAGTGTGGTCCACTAGACAAGGTGCTAGCATAGGAGTCAGGAGACTAGTGCTTAATTTGTGCCAGGACTTGCCAGGAATGGGCACCGGCACCTCTAGGCTTGCTGTGTCACTTATGAAAGTAAAAAAAATTGCTTGAGCCCTGGCACCTAATTGCTTGAGCCCCAGCACCTCTTTCATTACCAATTAAGCACTGCAGGAGACCCATGTTCTGTCCCTGGCTCTGCTGCTGAACTGTTGTGTGACCTTAGATACATTTCTGTGCCTGAGTTTCCCCATCTGTAAAACTGAGATAATAGTTACTGGCAGCCTGTATTATAGAGGAGGTCACATTAGATGATCTAGTGGTTCCTTCTGGCTTTGAACTCTGACTATACTGTGGATTGATCATCTAGCAAAGTTTGATTTAGAAACTTTTTCTAGTTGTAAGAATGAAAAAAAATCTTAAAAATATAGAAGGCCTGTTTCTTGTTTACACTAAAGCCTTGTCTACATTAGAAGGGGTTTGCTGGTAAAGCTATATTGGCAAACCCTCCTAGTGTACATGCAGCTTACACCAATAAAAGTGCTTTTGCTAGTATACTTTAAACAGTTCCCCAAATGATATAAACTATATCAGCACAAGGACTTTTGTGCCAGTAGAACTGCATCTACTCAGAGGCTTGTGCCAATATAGAATGTCATAAGAATCAGTGACATTACTCTACTCCCCCATTACATTTAAAAACGTGGGGCTTAATTCTCATTTGCATCCAGGCCACGTTATACCACTTTGGCAGCGTACCCTTTACACTGCCAAGGGTGGTGTACAGTGGCCTTAGTATGAATGAGAATCAGCCTGTAATTTTTCGCATTCTTCTGGATGCCTAGTTCTTTCTTTTTCCCTTTTAAAATATTTATTTGCTGCAGCTGGTCAAAGACGCAGCAGCATCACATCAAAATAACGAAACAATGGAAGGAGATATAGAACCTCCAGGCTGCACAATGGAGTTGCATGAAGAACACTGGGAGGGAGCATAAACCCATCACGAGACACTGCAGAGTTCCCCTTTGGAGACATTCAGGATCTCTGAGACAAGTGTTAAAACAGAGAGTTGGAGGGTGGGGGGAGAGATTACATCTTCAGGAGGAGGGATTAAGAGAGTGAGGAGCATATGGGGTCATGAAAGAAACAGAGGAAGGAAGCGGCTATGTGAGAGGACACTGGGGAAGAAAAGGGGAATGAAAGGGGCCAAGGCTTTAGTTATTGGTAACTTTATAGCAGTGGTTCTAAACCTCCAGTATGAATCAATGCTCACCTGAGATTACTGACAGATTTGGGAATGGATGGAACAGTTGGGAAGATTTTTTTAAATTAAATGTTTGATTCACTGAGTCCTTTGACTTTTTTTTTTTTTAAATGACCCAAATAATGGGGTTTCCTGTATTTCTGCCTGAGAAGTATTTCACAAGCTGAACATTCTCACAGTCAGAAAAAACTTTTCCTCATATGCAGCCCAAATTCCTTTTTCTTACTTGTACCCCATTGGTCCTAGTTAAATGCTTCCCTGGCCCCTCCCATTGCTGCAAGTACCAATCTAACTAATACTGCTCCCTCCTTAGGGTGAAAGCCTGGTTCCATTGATGTCATTGGGAATTTTGCCATTGACTTCCCTAATTTCAGCCTCAGTCAAGGTCTGGCCTTCTTTAATTATTGCTTAGATAAGTTATATGGGTAAAAATGCCAAGCATGCCCAAGGCCTTGTCTTCGCTAGGAATAAAAAAGGGGTTTACTTGTTACTACTTGTTAGCAAACCCTTTTTCCTAGTGTGGATACCCCTTAAGTGCCACTGAGGATTCTGTTAATCATCCCTCTTACACTAATTCTGTTCCTCCATCTCTTTTCACTTCTCTTGCTCTTTTTTAAACTCCCTTTATTTTTGTTTCCATTGTACATGTATGCCATTTAAAGGAGGTTTTAAAGGCACTCCTGAGCTGAAACCTTGAACCCCAAGTCTTGGTCTAGACCAAACATTCATAGCCAAGTCAGAGATCTCCCAAAATGGCATTTATAAATGAAACCTTACGAGTACCGGTGGTATCAGTGCTGGCATATTAATTGAGAAGAAACAGCTGAGTCAGAAGTAGTGTGCTAGGGTTTTACTCATTGCACATGGGTAATTTTTAGCTCAGGACAGAGAGCTCTGTGCTTTAAAACAATCTATTGAAAAATAAAATAAATCAATCAAAAAGCAGGGGCCCTTATGTTTAACATTGCCCACAAAGTTCAAAGTTCATAGATGAATCATAAATTCAGTGAGATTCACTCAAAGGGGAACTGTCCATAACTTCACTAACAGATTTCACAGAACAACTAGCCTCTTTCTCTGGAGTAGAGGACAGCTGCAGTGCACTGCTGAGTCGCAATAAGGGCAAATGTGTCTGGGTTTCTGTTCAGCCAGCTAAATATGGAAACCCTCAATTGGCACCTACTCATTTGTGCCTGGAAGGACAGCCCCACTTCCAAGGCACTTATGGCGCACACACTTTAAAAGTTACTGCGTTTCCAGCTGCCACGCTACAGCAGCGCAATTTGTTAGAGCTCTAGGGGTGTGTCTACACGAAGGGAGAAATTGGCGGCAGAGTCATTGATTGCATGGAGTGACTGTTGGCTTCACTGGTCCTTGTAACGGTTTGGTATCTCCGCACATCAACAGTGGGTTTGACAGAGCCATTTTGCTACAGTCAGATTACTACAGATAGCCTACTGCCTCACCACCATAGCTGTACCAGTGCACTCAGATTCCTGATGTACATATCCCTGTTGCTGGGAACATGGGGTTGGGGGTAATTTGCACACATGAAACACTGCATGATAGGTTGCAGTGAGAAGGCTCATTTGTGTGGGGTCCTGTCTACAATGGAGAAAAACCACTGGCTCAGCTAGAGCTGAGCTAAATCCCTGACTCTAGGTCAGGTGTTGCAACCAGCTGGTAAAAATCTGCATTTGGGACAGCTGCACCTACTTTGCAAGTTCAAGATACTCCAACTAATGCTCTGGGGAAGGGAAAGGGTTTACATGCCTCTTCACCTAATGTAGACATGACAGGAAAGACCAGTGCACTTTGAGAAGTCACGAGTGTGGCCTGATGTTTCAGACAGGCAAACCATGTTTGTTTCCTGGTGAAACAATTTAAAATTTGACAGCTTATGCATCATTTACAGAATTTTTGTAAAGGTAACAAAGGTATAATAAAAATGTTACCTGTGTGCCAAATTTGTCAATCTGTAGAAAATTTGTTACTAATTTCCATTGTTTCTAAATTAGTCATTGGAACAATATTAACCACTTAGTAGCAGTGATATAGCAAATAGGCTGAACAGAAGTTTGAATAAAAATAATTTTTCCATTTACTATATCTAAACAGAACTTTAACACAACATCAACCTAACAGATTAGGGCTTTATAGCAATTAATTCACCAAAATGTTGCCACACAATGGATTTTATTTGCCTCACTAAACTACTTAAATAAACATGAAATACAAAAGAAAAAACATCCTATTAAATGTTTTCTCCTCTTTTGGCTTCTGTGTTAGGAAATAATATGAGCAACATTTTTGATTCTGTAAATATATAGCACTACTGTACAATTAATGTTGTAAACAGTAAATGAGACTAGCTTCGATTGAAATTAGCTTCAGAGTGATGCTTGCAAACTTTTCAAAAATGGTTGGCAAATTTCAGCATGTTGTATCACAAAATACAAGATTTAAAGGTCCAGGGTGTTCTCTTGAATAACTCAGAGGTAGTGTAATATTTACTGGCAGCCTGTATTATAGAGGAGGTGACATTAGATGATCTAGTGGTTCACTTACTTTGAAGTAAAAATTGACATAATCCCATTTTGCAATTAAAACACCCACCTATCTGCAAATTCAAAAAGTAAGAACATCTGGTAACGTTCCAGGTTACTGGGAGCTCCTAAAAATACACTGAAACTCAGTACTGAAATACACAACTAAGATTTATTGATCACATCTGTACTGTGGGTGAAATTCACCACTCACGGAAGGCCAACACAAGACATATAATGGGCCTGGTTCTCCTCTCACTCATGTTAGTGTAAATCAGGAGTATCTTTACTGAAGTCAATGGGCATTCCAATATTTCTGCAGAATTAATGTGCACTTCTGTCCACACTAAGAGTTTTTATGACCTGAATTGCTGCTGTTTAACACTTAAAAATATTGTTATTACTGTTAAAGCAATATTAAGGAATAACAGAATTATTTACACTCTCTTGTATTTGGCTTCCATGTTGCCAATGCCATAAATGTCATTTTGAAGCAAAATGGCTGCCATGAACAGGCAGGTCATAAAAACCATCAATTTTTTAAAATGCATTTTCACTTTAACCATGATGAAAAGCGATCCTGACCTTCCGAGTGTTTAAAATACTTCACATTTTTCTTGGAGTTTTAATACGCACCGTATTCCTTTGATGCATCACCACCTCTGACTTGAAGTGACAGTTTTCCTGAGGCTAGAGCCTTTATCATTTTAAATATCAAAATCTCACCAGAGCAAGGTTCGGGAGCAAGGCTTGTCATTGCAGTTTAGACTCACCTTCCCAAAGCTGGCAGCGTTAACAGGCTGCGTGTCGTTTTTCTCACAGAAGTCCAAATAGTGCATGTAGAGAGCACTTCGAGGAATGCAAACGCCTTCTGCAATCTCATAGTTCTCCTCCAGCCTTAAAAAGCAAATACCAAACAAAGAAAACTGCAAATATGTTGGCTGCCCTGAATTATAAATAGTGTGCAAACCTGCACGTTTAAGTGACTTTCACTTTTCAGTTAACCTCTGTTTTATTGTTACCTCATCTTTCCAATTCACCTCCACCCCATTTGTCTGTATCATCTACCTGTTGCATTCTATCTGATATGTAGATTGTGAGCTCTCAGGGGCTTCTTTGTTACTTGTCTGTACAGTACCTGGTGCCCTGATCCTTGATTAAAATTCCTAGGTGCTATTTTAATAATAAATACTATTATATCATAACTTTAAATCATATGGGTTAAATGAATGAATGCACAATGACAGAATAAAGAAATCACTAAGTGGCAACATTCTGATGCACCCTAGATGATGAGTCCAAGCCAGAATCACCATCAACATCCTGAAATATTTTAAATACTTTCACTTCTATCTGATTTACATAAAGTAAACAGGAGTGGCTAAAATAAAATATTTGCATCAATGGAAGGATCTCCACAGATAATGTTTTGTACAACGGTTTCTTACAGATGCTGATGTACAACACAGGATAAGAAGAATCTACCGAGTGCTGAATGCAACATTAAGATATTGTCCTATTCTCCCTCATAGAAAATAATAATTCCCCACAATGTATTTAATTTTAAACACACGCCCTTTGCCATTAAAACAGGAGACTCTCCATATAACTCAATAATTATAAATCTGTTGATGTGAGACCATGTTGCTTTGAAAGTTATTTTCTGGAGGCTGATCTTTCCCAAAGAATAGAGGCCCCAGTTCAGGCAGGCACTTAAGCACATGCCCAATTTGAAACCCAGGAGTACTCCCACTGACTTCAATGCTCCTACTCACATGTTTATAGTATCTTGCTGAAGGAGGGTCAGAAAGGGTACACTCCTTTTTTTGTTAATTATATTGCTGGAATCAATATTTGCTCAGGAAACCTGGATTTTAAAGCAAACATGGCCCTTAAAGTCGTTACCTGTAAAAGTTCAGATCTCCAAATAACCTGAGTTTCTCTGTTTCGCTGCCTTTGGCAGACCTTCCCTCCATGTCAGTTATTGTGACCATTTGTGACTTCCAACTATTTTAATAAGATATCTGGCTGGATGAATGGAATTGGTTTGTAAGGGCAACATCCATTCTTCCTAGGAATAGGTTTCTACAGGAATATCATCACGGCATCGTTCCCCAAATTCATAGACCTTTAACAAGGCCTCTTTTCAAAACCCAGTGAGTTCATTTCTATACTATAGCTGCTAATTGGCATGTCAGCTTCCCTGACCAAGACAGGACAGAAAGAAAAGCAGTTAATTATTTCTGTTCATATCTGATGAATTTTTCTCTTTTTCTCTTCTCTTTCACAGGGAGTCATTAGTCTGACACTGAAGAATGCTCCATTATACCTGAACTTTTATTTTTTTTAAATGATCAAAAACCCCATTTTGCTCCACTTCTTTTATTTTCCTGCCTTTTATTTAACAACTTTATCATATTTTGAATTCAGCTTCATCCTACAGTATTGTGGAAAGATAATGAACTCAATCTTCTGCCTAATAAATCATTATCAGAAATATATGTGTGTCCTAATAAAGCAATCCAGTAGTTCAGTATGAAAGCTTTTGTACCACTCATGGTATTGCAATAAAAACCCTAATGTTTCTATAGGAAAGACAATTTTATCTGCCCTTATTACTGTTCCACTTTGTGCTTATACACTGCTAGATTAAAAGGGATTATTCTGCATCTGAGTAATGTTTGTAAGTGCTGATCATACGGACTTTTATTTTGAAATGAGAAGCAACAGAATATGCCAAGCTGTTGCAATGTAACTACAATTAATTCCTATATTTATTGATGGAATTACTATGCCAAGGAAGGCCTATTTCTCATAATCCTCTCTTTCCCCCTTTCTTAGTCCTTTTTACATTATTTTGCCACTTATGCCCGATGAGTAATTTATATCACCATTTATGTCACTGCTGAATTTGGCCCAGACTTTCATGGCAGTTGCACATGCTTACACACTAGGCCAGTGTTTCTCAAACTGGGGTCGCCGCTTGTGTAGGGAAAGCCCCTGGCGGGCCAGGCCGATTTGTTTACCTGCCCCGTCCGCAGGTCCGGCAGATTGCGGCTCCCACTGGCCGCAGTTCGCTGCTCCAGGCCAATGGGAGCTGCTGGAAGCGGTG